TAAGAAAATTTTTTTTTTTTTTTTTTTTTTTTTTGTTTGGGGTTTTTTTTCTTCTTTTTTTTTTAAGAGACTAACTTAGATTTCAGCTGTAAACTCATGCTGGTATGTAGTGGGCTGAGACTGTTTCATTTTGCATAAATTGCATAATCTTTGAATGTCTTCACAAGTGGTTAAACAGCCACATGGGAGATGGGATGACTGGGCTCTACTGCCACTGCTTATTTGCCCTTTCTTATACGTTAAGTAGAACAGTGTCCTCAGCAAAGAATTCAAATAATTGAATTTCAAATACCTTGTTGAGTTTAGATTCAGGCAATGTGCTGAGATGTAATAAGGGTAAAGTGAAATGCCATAAGAAGAGGCAGAAAGAGATTTGGGTATTCAAATGAAAATTAGTGCCATGCACATTGGTCTTAAACCTTAACTAAATCCAGAAATGGAAAATGTTTTTAACATAAGTTGCTGGCTTAAACCCAAATTCATATTAGGTATTTATAATTGTCTGTTTTAAAATTAATAACTAACCTAAAAAAATCCTCAAATAAGAATCAACATGACTAAACCCACTGCTCCAAAACCCCAAAAACTCCGAACCACTCTAATAGCACTTTTCACACATTCAGCAATGCTCCACATAATACAGAGCATACAGCAAGACTATTAAATACAAACTATACTAAACAGATGATTAACTACATCGCTAATCTAGGATGGATTACCTTAAACCTTGCAGAATTTTGTCATGTCTTAAAGCTTGAAGGCCTACTATTGTTCTAATGCTAATGTATATAATAAAAACAAAGATTCTATAAAAACATCCTGGTGCATTCCTCTCTCAAAAAATGCTTTTGTCTAAAATGCATGTTTCTGATCATGAGCTAGTCTTTCTAATGTTAATATATCTCTTTAACCCAGAGAGCAATAATTTTATATGTAACAAAATACAGCTACCCTGCATATAATAATTTAAACCTTTTAAAAAAAGTTTGTCTGCTACAAAATGCAAATGTGTAAATACACAAAATAATTTATTTACAAATTTTGAGGAAGGTGTTTATCCTCAGCTTTCACATCACTCACCTCCACGTTCTTCCAAATAGCAAGCATGTGAACAATTGAAGAAATGAAATTATTAATCTGCCTAAGTTGTATTCAAAATAATAATAACTTCTTTTCCTCCATTCCCTACACTGAAAAATCACACCAAAACTTCAATAAATACATCTTAGGAGCTACTTATATTAAACTTAGAAAAACTCCTAATACACAATTTTCACTTTATTTCTAACTCTATTTCTTAAATTTTTTGCATTTTTTTTTGAGAGGGCAGTAGCTGAGATAAGGAACAGACAAGTCCTGTACATATTACGTCCACGTAATGGGTATAATAGACAGAAAAACATAGGATGGAAAAAAATCACATACAAAATGAATACATTTAAAAATTATTAGTATTGTCCTTTTGATAGAAATACACTTCTAAGTGTATCTTTACATTTCAAAATATTTTACATTATCAACATTCTTCCAGATTTTAGAGAAACTAAACTCTTTTTGACTTACACCAACCTCTGCAGGGCTAAAACCTCAAAATAATTTAATTTGAAAGTCACCCTTTTGTTTTTCCAGTGCACAGTGTGTTCATAAATACTGTGATCACACATCCATTAGCTAAGTCTCCCAGATGAGAAACAACTCTCAGAGTAGATGGCAGTGAATTCTATCAGCATTTATGGCAGCACTTTCATTGAATACTAGATAAAACAGGAGATCCTTGGTTAAAAACTGGACTGGCTCAAGAGTCCAGCACCGCAGAGTTCCACACTCTGAATAGCATCAGTCAGATGGATGCAAAACTGGATTCCGTGGTCTCCGATAGCATTCCTTCAGTAAAAGGCAAGCATAAACAGAATAATACAGCAGTATTGCATTTTTTGTTGGCATCACTTATTTTGTCTGTGAACACTGAAATAAGTGATACCAGTAAAAATAAAATGTTGCCATGGTAAAAGGTGCGCATGTAAGAATTATTTTGCTTATGTTCCAGAGGAAGTGGCAGAGAAGTCCCCAAGACAAGCAAATCTGAAATTAACTCCACCCAAAGCCTACAAACAATACAAGGAGATCTGCTGAAATAATGACTTAACTCTTCAAATCTGAGCAACGAAGAGGAGTAATGGAAAGGAATGAAACATTTGAGAATATCCAGTGGCTCTCCATGGAGGGTATGGAGATGACTGCAGTCTACATTATTGAGAGCTGCTGAACACTAACTAATGAAAAGCAAAGCCTCCAAGAACCTGTGGTATTTATGGATCAACACTACTAATAGAAAACAGGCTTGAAATCCTCATCTAAATTTCTCTGTCAACTACAAGGGAGGATTTTTCTTTCTTGGTTTTAATTTTCAATGTAAACAAAGCTCTTAAAGAGCATGAAGAAGATTGCAGAAACAGTTGGTAGCATAACCTCACAAATTTCAGGGCAAACTGACTTTCTAAGCAAGCCCTCATTTTATTTTTTCAGATACACTTTTCCTACCCCTCTGTCAGCACAGGACTGCTGAATCTACAAAGGAATACCTTACACCACTCTAATAACTTTCAGTACAGCACCAGTCAGCTTCTGAAGTTTTCCTTATTTTTAAGAAAAAAGAACTTATATCTCATAGCTTTGAAGGTATGTAAACTGGAAAAGAATAAAGATCACAGCACCTGGCAAAATCCATTACTCAACAGATTCCAGGTATAGATCTTGGTTGCTAACAAAAAGAATACATTTTTGGTGATTTTTTATTAGATGCATACTAGCTGACATTATTTCTGGTGCTAATCCAAGATTCTCAAAACCAGGTGTTTGTTAGTAGCTAAGATACTAAGTTTACATTTCAGACTCTAAAACACAGCAGCTTCCCCTCTCCTACACATTTATCTTCTCTAGATCCAAGAACTGTACCTTCTTCTGAAATTTTGAGCCTTTGTTCTTCATCTGGAGGTTTGGGTGGAGGCCACGCAGATGGAATTCTCCTTGGAAAGCTTCCTTCAATGTAATCTGTTGAATGTGTGGGTTGGCTAACTGCAGCCCAAGTATAAAGCTGGTCTTGCTGTGATTTTAAAAAAAAAACGAAAACAAATGGTGGAAAAGTTCATATAGAAAGACAAGGTCAAAATATCTAAACTTTTCTTTTCAGTACAAATAACTCAATATCCCCCATATTATGATAGACTTGGTTTTATGCTCTTCAGTCTGATAAAGACTTAAGATAAATCTATATTAAAATAGTTATGTTCATTAATGGCAGAAATGACAGCTTTCAGTTTTCTACAACCCAACAACATGTTAGGATATAGTTCAGCACTTTTTTGAGTAAGGAACTCTTTGCCACTTCTTTTCTTAGAGCTGTAACACATTCTGTCCATCATGACTGCACTTTGTCACATACAGCTGGTTTTATGGCTTGGAGGGAAATATTTCTCTCCACACCATACATAATCATTTTACACCAAAAGCACAAGCAAAGAAAATGAGCAGAATTATTTCAGCAGAAATTGAACTGCTATGTGCACTCTTTTCAGCCCTATTTTTATCATTTCCATTTTAATATTTTTAGAAAAGAAGGTAAAAAGGTGGCTTTTCATTTGGAATAAAATGAAATAAACCCCAAACCAACAGCTAAAGGTATTCTCAGTCTTCTGGGCTCAAGTCAGATATTATCCTTATTGCTCAATAGCTTTGAGTCTATGACTAAAAGTAGGACACACAGAGAGTTTCTGATGAAAACTAGGGCAAAGTAATGCTTTAAGCTAACAGCAAGATTTTAGATGACCACAATTCAAGTAGTTATTCTTTTGACTGGTAGTCTGCATCAACATGAACACCTTGTTGATTAAACATTTAGAATACTGTAAATTCTATAGAGATCATTCCCAGTAATTGCACAAGTAACCTAGTAAATGATCTGGAAAGATGTAATTATTGTAGCACAAAACTAGAAAACAAATTAAGTCGCAGGTTGAAAATACAGTCATATCACAGTAATACTTTCTTACAAAGATGATTTTCATTAGATTTCATTCATTCTATTGCCTGAATAAAAACTAGTACATATTTCATTTTTAGATTAGAACTTTTTTTTTTTTTTAAATTTGACAGATAATAAACTTTGAAGAGATATGCAGGACAAAGAAGAAAACATTGCTTGTTTTTGGGGTAATCACTGTTTTATGTGGCTAATTTTCTATTTGCCTAAAAATAAATTGTTGAAAGAGTGAAAATGTTCAGTTGGGAGCAACTTACTCGGAACAGACAAATGTTGGTAATAAAGTAAAAAGCTTTGTTTTACAGAGGGTGCCTCAGTCAGGGTCAAGGGAAGCTCATTGGACCTTTCCAGCAGGAAAAACATGACCAAAATCCAGACATGTATATTGACTTTAGATAAAGGTAAAAATATATGGATAAAAAGCTTAATAAAAAATAACATCAGGTTCTTTACATAGCCCTGAACTCAATGCTCCTTGAAAAGCCTGTCCATTATAGCAGCATTACACTGCTATTCTATTTGAACATCTGAAAAGGCTTGATTAATTCAGTCCTTTGAGTCACTTAATTCTTTTCCATTGTCTATTTCCAGCATTTTAGAGGATAAGTATTTCTGAGTACATATGTGAATTTCTGCCCAATTTCCAACACTGTTTGAGTAAAAAGAAGAGGGAGTCCTACCTGTACATGTTCTGGGAAGAAAATGTGCTGGGTTTTGCTATTTGTCATGTTTCTGCACCATTTAAATCTCAAAAATACAGAGGAAAATAAGATTTGAAAAAGTCATAGAGACAAACCAGAAAAGTTTTTTTCTTTCCCACTCTACCATCTTTTACAGTCCAGGGAATACAGGGAAGAACATGCTCTACACAGGGTTAACTGGCTAAGCACAGATGACTTTAAATAGGATTACATGTAGGGTTACTGGGCAGTAAAACAAAAAACAACTGACTGTAGATAATGTTGACATAGCACAAATGAAGAAAACAGTTAAACTGTCCCTGGACATGACATTTCACCATGCCAGTTCTTGAAAGATACAATACAATAATTTAGCAACAGATTCTTCAAATAAGATTAGTCTACATGAATCAAGATGACAAACAGAACAAACAGAACAAACTCTCAGAATTATTGTACAGATGGTATACATTATGAAGGTAAGAAAATATGAAGTACCTATGTTCTTGCTGATGTAATTTACGGCATATAAAATATAAGCAGTTGTAAATTAAAACATCACACAACTTGATAAACTCTTAACCCAGCATGGGAGCTTTATCTGTGAGTATGAAAGGCAGTATTTTTTTGTCTGTATTGCATTTGGGGGTGTGGGGGGGATTTCTTTATTTTCTGTTCAATACAGAGCAAAACAATAGAATAGACTCCTCATGTAATGGAAATTTACAGATGTAAAAATGTAGATTTTCAAAAATGCCTCCAAGGAACTTGCACTACAATGAAAGCATATCCATTTTCAATATATAGACAAGATATTTAACAATAACTACTTTCAGATTACTTGCAAGTTTATAAACATACTTTCCAATATGAGAAACCCTCATGACAGAAAGGTAGTCTGAAGCTCTGGATGGCAAGTTGATAGTCCATAAATCACACTTAAAAAGGGAAAAAGATTAACCCTGTCTCTACTTTCATGCCCTTCAAAAGATACAAATCATTTGAATGTCCTAATTCCTATGCACTGAAGCTATGGTCCAAAACCTAATCCTCTTTATGCTTTGTCTTTAGCTCCTTGTCAGTTAATATACTAATCCATCTCTTTTCTCATTTTTCAAATCTGATAATGCCATAAATGTGCATGATTATTAGAACAGTTTGAAGAAAGAGATATGCAGCCAATTCTGTGATGCTGAAGTCTAGTTCAAGCAAAATAAACAAAATAACCCAAATTAAAAAAAAAAATCCAGATTTGATTTTAGTATTAATAATTACACAGCAATCATCCATGAACCTAGATTTCCACATTCAAATTTTTCTCCTTTAACTTTTCATTTCAGAGGCAATTTTTACTAAATATCATTGTGCATACAGTCAGTGAATATGCTTACCGTGATCAAGTTTTGGATACATCTGGAATTTCCACTTCATCTTGCTCAAACTCCACTATTTAGTCTTTAAAGCATCTCTTTTGAGGGGAAAAAAATTACATTTATATCCTTGTAATGAATGATGCCAGTCTTATTTTTTTCAGACTCATATCTGGGCAGACACTGGAAGCTTCAAGCTGTCTGAGTCCAGTGCACTAAACATTATGTCAAGAAGAGTTCTCGTTTCCACACATCCTTACACAGCACTTTCCACTGGTTCTTAAAAGTGCAGAGCATCTGCACATGGGCGAGGCAAACTGCCTGCAGGATCTGATGCTACCTAATCAATATACATTTTACCACTTTTAGATGCTAGCAGCATTTAGAGTCACAGGGAGTCAGGTCTGTAGTTTAACTCACTCTCTTCCCAGACAGAGAATGGGTTTTTGTTACAACTTTCCATTCTCTGGTATCACAGCGTTACACTTCAACTATGTAATAAATTAAATATTAAATATTCACTTCACTACTGGAGCTGGAGATTCTTTCCAGCTTGTCTTTAAAGATGGAAATGGATTTTGAAAACTACTCAAAGAAAGGCCTCTAGCAAGTGCCATGTGGCTGGTGAGCCCAAAGCTAGGGCCATGAATTAGACCTGCAGCAAACATCAGAAGTCATTCTGGTGGGCCTGGACCTTTCAGAAAAGGGGTCACACATTTTTCACACAATTTTCACACCAGTTTTGTTCCCTGGGCCACAGACTGAGTTACAGGATACTATATCCCCCCACTGTAGGAGTACAATATGCAACCCTGAATGTATGCTACGCTGCTCCTGGAAATACACAGGTAATACAACCTTCTGCTCAATGTCCTTTCAGTTTTTAATCAGCTGTCTATCTGCTTCCAGTTCAAAGAACAAAAATAGCCACTGTGAGAAGGGCTTAAAAGAGGTACAGGAGATGGAGTTGAAATAGCAATTGGTGTATACACATTTGCTCCAAATGGCTGCAAAAGCATGAATTAGCAATGTGAGGCCCAAGGGGGAAAAAAATCTGACCAATGGTATTTAGAAAACTCTCAAGGAAATAATCAAAGCACAGTCAGGTGGGAAGGAGAGGGAGGAAGTAATTCAGCAGTACCTCTAAACTTTCTTACATGAGAGTGCATTGGCACTAACACGCCTGATGTGCTGAGCTCTGATGCAATAGGGCTCTATTTTGCAGAACATTTTTTTTTAATAGTAAACTTGAAAATTTTTTCACTAAAACCATAAGCATTTGAAGCTATCCTGAAAAGGGAAGAACAGAAGTGTTGGATTGTTGTAGGCAAGTACAAATGGGCCAGGAGTAAACACAGAGCAGTAGTTACAAGAAGGTTCCTACTCATCAAATCATTCTGGATAGCATTCTTTCGGTGGGAAGGAGTTGAAGAACAGGGAGAGGAAAGAGTATAACTGCATTTAAGGTGGAATGAGAGCAACTCATAGAGGAGTTCCATTTTATGTTACTTTGGATAAGAAGGGACCAGACTCCATGTCTCAGAGGTGTTTTCCAGGCTAAGAGCTCCAAAGAGCTTGTCCACATTTGCATATAATTTCTTGGCATTTAGTCTGTTTTGAGAAATTGAAATTGTCAAGAAAAAAAAATTGTCTATGGAAGAATTTTTTTTTTTTTCCATTCAGGAGGGTTAATCATTCTAGTATACTAAGTAAACACCATCTAAAATGAAAGTCAACTGCATGTTCTCCACTGCATACCAAGAGTTAATTGTAGAAGCAAGGTTTTAGTTTGAGAAACTAGAGCCAGACTGCCTCAAGATGCTCTTATCAGCAGGAGACTGCTTTATTTTAAGCAGCTTTTAAAATAAAGAAATCAATACTTTTAAGAATGGGGAAAGTGGTTTACTTTTTGAGGACAGGTTCAGTAACAAAGCTCTGCCTTGCCACTGACAGAACCAGAGGAGTGATTAAACATAGCCCTCAACTTGTGCTACCTTTGACTGCACTGGTGAGC